CAGCCCCAAAACACTTTGGGCTTTCCCCATTAGAAATTAGTTTTGCAGCATGTCCCTGAGCTAACCTATTTACAATCTAAAGGCTGAGGCAGCTTTTCTGTCATTCATCTTTGGCTTCTGGAGGAAAGAATCTTCTACTACTGTTTCTGTATGCATGAACCACTGCCTAGAACACAGAACACACAACTGCAGAGTTCACAGCGCATTAAGATCCATTTCCACATTTGTAGCACTGTTCTAAAAAGGAACCTTTCTTTCATAAAATCCGTTTTAGCACTCACCACAAAACAAATTGCTACAATTCTTTTAGTCTGCTGCCTTTTTTCCCCAAAAGGAATCAAAACTTTCATAATTTAAGGAGCAGATGTCAACGGATGTACAATTTTACTGACCGTTCCACTCCATCGTAGTCACCACCAATTCCTATTGATTCTGAACCTGCAATTTGCTTTATGTGGTCAAAATGATCTGAAAGAAAATATCAAAGAAAACAATATCTAAGCATCTGTCAAGAAGAAATACATTTTCTTCTTGAAAATTCAGACATTGGCACTAGGTGACTATTCTCCTTAATCATGGATTCTTAATTTAATCTTTTTAAAAAAAGTCAAAAGACATCCTGATAATATAGGTTAAAATTTCATAATCCAGTTGACATATTCAGGATATTTACTGATGCTTTACTAGATGTTATCTGTTATTAAGCACATCAGGCAGCAATCTTCAAAATAACAGGTACACTGATGGGATGCAAATGAGGAAGAAGACATGATCGTTGTAGCACAGTAATTCCCAACAAGTAAACCACATATACCAACCCCCTTTTCCACTCTGAATTACAAACGTTTAAGTTGTTTTCCAGAAAATAACAAATAATTTGAGATTAATGGTTCTTGGCTCCATTTGGGAGCATCATGTCCACCAGCTACACAGCTTGTGCCTCTTGTTATTGTTTAATGAATACTAGCTCCCAAAACACCTAAAGCTGTGGTAAGGCTTGGAAGGGAATAAGCAAGCAGTATAATGTACATGATCTCAAAAATGACACACATCAGGAAATTAATAGAAGCCACCCACAAAAATCCAGTATATTAAGTTCAAACCTGCAAGGGTAGAAACATTAACAACTTTTCTGCCACAGGCCAGTACATCTGCATTGAAAGTCACCATGATAATTCCCTTGTTCTTTTTCTGAAAGATATGAAAAGATGGGTGATGAGTGGACACTTGTGTGTCCTGCAGATCTCATGGGCATCTCACATGGATCCTTCTACATATATCTGTCAGTGAGCATAACACCATTCTATAAGTCAAAGCTCAGCTGGGAACACAAGGCTTTGCTTCTGTTTCCTTTAGCTTCGTTTTCATAATATTCTCATGTAGCCTTAAATCAGCAGAAGTCCACTGACTACAGTGAACAAACTCAACCACAATTTCAAAGTATTTGCCAACAGTTCATTTTTGTAGCCAATGATGAAACACAACCCAAAGAAAATGTCTCAGAAGCTGATGTCTCAGAACTTGCTCCTCAGGGATCTGCTTATAAATCCAAATCAGGGATAAGAACACTATGACTTGAATGCACAGTTTGCCTTAGACTAGCCAAACATTGCCATAAAAAAGAAAACCAGCCAACCAACAAAAAAGACCCAAAAAAACCCTAAAAAACAACCAAGCAAAAAAAAAAAAAATCCCCAAACTCAATAACCTTATTGCTCACCAGTTGCTGGAGGATATCATCAGGAACATTTCTTGAGTGATTACAAATAGAAAACGCTGAGGAATGGCTGAAAATTACTGGTGCTTTTGAGATATTCAGTGCAGCTTTTGCTGTGGAATATGAAGTATGAGATAAATCTACCAGCATACCCAGGCGATTCATCTCCTTTACCACTTCCTACAACAGATTTACAGATGACAAATGTCAGTATTAAGTTTCCTTAAAGGAAATTGTTTAGCTGATATGTATAAACAGATAAATCCTGCAGCTGTAAGATAGTCAAAAACATGCCGTGCCTGTATGGTCTTCTATGTACCTATTAATTTAATAGTAATTTATTCACTCACAATTAACTAGCACACCACCATATGCTCGAAACTTTAAAAATGTAGTGAATTTAAAATAAGTAATTTGAACTGTTGTTCACAACTCACTATGTCTGACATGTATTAAAACAATTGTTATAATTAAATCTAGCACTTCTTTTGCCCTAAGAAACACCACAAGGAATTTGGTTTGACTGAACCCTGATCACCTCCTGACTACCAAGAACTTCCAGTAATTCACTTTTAATGACGAGCTGCTTTAGAAAAGATAAGGCCAGAAGTTGTTAGCTGCAGGAGAGATTGCTTAGATTAGCATTTTGAGAGAGATTCTTACTTGGCCAAATGCAGTCAGACCAGTAACACTAGGATAAAAGTTGTGTACTCCTTTAGATGACGATTCAGACCTTAGAAAGGGGTGAGGGGAGGGAAGAAAAACATCATATTGTTGTGGAGACAATATCAGCAACTGAAACTTCCTATGCTACACAATAAAAATAGTGAGCCCAATGTAGGGATAATGAGCTACACATACTACATATTGTGTTCATGCAGTGTTTTTTGTGTTCATAACTGGTTTGTGGCTGTTATGCCTTCAGGTTCAGGACTGCTGTACATTTGTGAAGCAATGCAAGACAAGCAAAGAGATGCTCGTCACAATTTTCCAATTAAACAAACCTCCATGATAGAACCAAGCCACATTGAAATGCCACTTCCCTGTCAGATGGAAAGTCTGCTTTTCAGCCTTCTCTGCACACAATTCCCCTTTCCCCGAGTCAGTACAAGAAGTAATTTTGTCAATCCAGCCAAGAGCAGATGGTAATATTCTCATAGAGGAATTAAGTACCTGTCTCTGTAGCTGCATATGGGACCTGCACTTTTGAGCTAGCCAGGGAGGACAGTTGTTGAAGGCTGCTGACTGCTGATTTTTCACATAGAATTTACCTTCTTTTATCTATATTGCATGCATTTTTATTACTTTTCTCTTTTTTTTTGGCCTGCTTTACCTTAAGTAACTTTCCTAATAAAGCAAAGGGGATAGCAATTTTACCATCTTTGTGCTCTTAACAAGGTTCAAAAGTTCCCAAATTCTCACCACGACAAGCACTACGTAACAGATCCTTCAGTCTGTGACTTGCCACATGGCAAGAGATTTACCCCCAAAACCTATCATCCTTGACTTGCTTCAGTCTTTCACAGGTGAACTCTGTGTCTGAATCCATATTTTCCCCGTCTAGGAGCTGCCACCACTTTGCATTAGATAGTCATACAAAACCATGCACATTAATTACCACGGTGTATTGCAGGAATGTGTTAAAGTCATGTAACGAACACCCAGGTCATAATACATCCTCAGTGTGGCCAAACTGCTGTCAATAGAGTGACCACCTTCTATTCCAATCAAACACGCGATCCGTCTACTGTCAGAGATACCTGGAAACAATAAAGGAACATAAGTGTAAAGGAATCTTGTGACCGATGAGAAGGCACCTCTACAAAGCAATGGTGGTTATTGCAACTGGCAAGCAGTAATACTGACATTTTCATACAACAGGAAGTAATACCACAGCATGTTAATATGCCATTTTTCCCATGACTGCAGTGGGCCAGGACTGTGCCCAGAGTTGGTTACTGTGGTTCAGTGGAAAAACTAAAGTTAAAGTCACTCGTTAAACCAGGGTAACTTGCCTGCATACAGTTCTGGTTTTTTGCACATGCAATCCCATTAAAAAAAAAAAATCTATTACAAGAAAAAGCATCACCTTGGGAAGTTGTCACAAATTCAAGCTCTTCATAGCTGTTACACATCCTCTTGGTAACATCAATTTGCTCTAAGGTCAGACGCACAGCATCCTTGTTCTGAGCGCTGCAAAGAACATACACTGACCAAAACTGAAAGAGATGTTGACAAGTAAACTAGATAACTGGTGTTTCAGTTTGGAAACTTTCATTTGCTAACAGTGGAGTTCACAAGCACAGACAGAAATAATTGCCTACAGTTTGCAAGGGAGTTTATACTATAGTTTGTCCCCCCCTAAGGAAGAGTTATGATGCAAGGCAAAAGCATCCAATCCAGACACGATTATAGCCTTCTGACACACTCACTACCCCACAGTACACACAAGAAAGTGGATGTAAGTTTACTTTGTCACAAAACAAATGCCACTGTTTTGGTTAAGGGTACCTGCATTATAAAACACAAACTTTAGAAACAAATCTTATGGAAAAATGCCTGTGGCTTTTCAGTTTCAAAGTTTTTTGCTTTTTCAATGGAAAGAGCCAAAACCAAAGCCAGGATTGCTTTTGTGATTTGGAAGAAAGCAAATGTAAAAATACATTCTTAGACTCACAGCCATGGCAGTACATACCTGAGCTCCCACATAACCAGTCTGAAGTTTTGCAAGATTTGTGTGGGTCTTGTTGAGTTCTCTTAAGTTGACTCTACTGAGTCTATTTTGGTAAAATATTCTCAGCTGCAGTACAAAGTCATTGTGGCTAGAAAGGAAAACAAACAGGGCTTGTGATAGAAACAAGTTGTCCCCCTTCTAACCCAAATGGAATTTCATCCGTTGTTTGTAGTCCCTTAGACCACTAATTGTCAATAATCTTTGAAGTAATATATGATTAAAAGTCTCCCTTCTTCTGCAAACAAACTTTATTTTAGTAGGGCAGCAAGAAACTTTTAGGTTTGCTTCTCCCATTTTTATAGCTGTTGTGCCTCTGTATTTATTTTTCTCCCTATCATTTCTGAAGGAATGGAAGAACCAAAATCAGCCTTCACAGTCCTTAGAAGCAAGTATGTGTGGAAGAATAATCAGTGCTTGTGTTCCCAGGTCAAAATACACTCACCAAAGCCATCATTCCTTCCAGTAGTAAGGGTGCCCTTTCAAGATATGATGCCTGTTCTCTAGCTCTGCAGAGAAGCCATTGCTAATGAAAGATGCCATTAAATCACAGGAAGGAGACAAGGACATTGTGTAAAGGCAAACAATAATTAAGTGGTGAAACCTAGCCAGAAAACCACATGCATGTAGAATAAATTGATCCTATAGTAAGTACCCTCTGAACCAAAATTCCTTCCAGATAAATCACTGCAACAGTAACTAACTGCTATGTGTGAATAACAGCCTATGTCTCTACTGATCCAAATATACTTTAGCATTTCCTCCTCACTCGTCCAGATTCACAAAGAGGATTTAGCTGAACGTATTTTATATACCCATCAATTAAACGTGCATCTTGCATCAACTTGATAGCTCGCTCTCTCATTGATTTCTCATAGGTGAATGGCACAATCTCAGAGAAGAACATCAGCAGCCACAGCAACTTTGTTGTACTTCTATTCATTTCCATTTTTCAGCTTGCTAAAGCAAAAAGATACCACAGTTATTCACTGATGACAATGAAATAGCAAAATTTCCAATCCGTGGAGGCTTAATAGTAAGGGCAGAGCTGAAATTACTCTTCTTTTGGTAAGGCTGGGATGAAATCTGCAGGAAGAAAGAAAGAAAGAGAACCATAAACAGAAAGGAAGGTAGAGAGGGAAACTGTAAAACAGCTACCTTCTCCCAGAGATTTTAAGGTCTCTGGCTATTGAGTTTTTGCTCATAAAACCACTCCTCAAACTCTGCTGCTGCCACCAGCTGACTGCTGAAGGGGACGAGCTCCTCAGTCAGAGCTAGCAGGGTGAGCCTGATGGACCCTGGACTCACACCTCCCACAAAGAAAACATCTGTCTAAACAAGATAGTTTGCTCATTACATTAACTGTTTTATTCTCATTGTCTAAGAAAACTCACACTGAAACAAACAGTGAAGCTGTTTTTGAGAAATTCCAAAAATCAGCTACTTCCGAGTAAATTGTCTTGTTAAAACACAAAACACATCAAGAGTATTTTCAGAGGAAAGCTTTTGAAACCCAACAGGTATCAGTCAAAAGCATTTTTACAAGCAAATTACAAATACCTCCTGTTATATATAAAGTAAGCATAAGATCTGCTAGGAGGTGAAAATACCTTAGCAGGGAAAAGGTTGGGTTTTTTCCCCCACATTCAGTTACTAGCAGCATTACTTACAAGGTGGAATGGCAGTCATTTCTTCCATTGGAGTCACATACTAATTAGATACAGGTGCCCTGTGAATTCTTTCAAATCAAATAAGTTTGGCTTGAATTCTAATCTTGCAAAACCAATGCTCAATTTTTTCCAAAAGACAGCAGCAAAACCAAAAGAAAAACAGTGTTGACTTTTCATTTGGTTTCCACTATGAGTCAGTAAAGTTTACATTTATAAACTTTCTTCTGGCAGCACAAAAGTTTGGTTTTTACTAGTAAAGGAAATTATCTTTATGTATTCCTTTTCTGAAGAGGTAAAACCAAGTAGCAAATATTCACAACATAGTAAAATGACAAGGCAATCAATTCACCTTGCCTGAATGCTTTGCTTCTCCTGTCTTTAAGCAAATTTTCTGAATCAACATGAATTGGACATAAACCCAGGAAATGGTTTCCTGATATAAAGCCACATATTCATCAATAAAGTCACAGATATCTCAAGGGAGATCCATGGGTGATGGTGGCACTGGAAGCAAATTCAAGTCACACTAAGCAGATTAGCTATTGATGACATTCCGTCCAAACGCATTTGTCTTCTCCTTAACTAGAACATTTTGATCATAAAATTCAAAGCCAGAATTGTAATCAGGATATTGGAAAGCAGCACAGCGAAAATCACGTTATTAAGATTCCTATATTTCCAGCCTATATATTAAACAATTCTCTTGTCACCTGCAATATGCAGAGTGTAAATCAAAGGAAAAGTTTACTGGCTTACTTGTCCTGCCTAAGCCTGACAAAACATAAATATGTTTATAAAGGACTTATATTTAATAAGTCAAATATAAGTTTAACTAAGCTGTGCAATTAAGATGTATTGAAATCAAAATTAATCCATTTTGTAGGTATTTTATCTCTAAATTAAAAAATAAGAAACTACCTCAGCTTGGGTTTAGAAAGGTGCGACCTAATATTCCAAAAAAATTCCTTTAAATGTGACAAAAATTATTCATGTTCCTCATTTGAGAAAGTGGCACAGGCCTTTTCTGTTTCACAGGAATTGGAATGCATTAAATTGTGGGACCATCTGGCAGGAAGCACTTTTGAACAGTGGGAACATACAAGCTTACACAAAAGGGAGAGTAGATGGAGAAGCAGGTTTAAAATCAGCCCTTAAGTGGTCTCAGAAAGCAGCTCTAGGACAGCTGAATAAACACAGTAGTATGCAAGCAAAGTAAAGATGCAATATAAGTAACATACCAGGGGAGCTGTGGCACTAACTACAGAACATTAATACCCCTCACCCCTTCATGTTTCCTACGAGAAAAACGTGACGTAAGGAACAACATAGGGAATGTTTGTGAAGTAGAGAGGTCTAATGCTACATAGAGGAAAGCACTCCAGAAATAAATTTGTCTTTCAAGGATGCTTCACAGTCTGTGTTCTCATTCATTAACAAACACAACAGAAGTGATTGACTCCAAGTTTCTCCTCATGTGTACAAAATTTAGAGGTTTAGACTAGGCCTCTAGGACGATATGACAGTCAATCTAGATCATAAGCCTACACATCTGAGTTTTCTCATAGGAATGGTTTTCTGCAGGCCCAATTATTTCCCCTGAGGTCAGAATAAGGACCAGACCTTCCAAGACTCGGATGATACGTGCAGACTGTCCTTCTCCAGAGCACAGCTGACTCTCTGGCAACACTTGAATTTGTCCAGGTTTCATACCATAGCCGATGGAAGAAGCCCTTATTCCTTTCATGTCTACACAATAACCAAAGAACCTTCTGTGTTCTTCCCAGATTGACTAGTTGGAAGGGAGATTTTTCTCCTTTTATTCATTGCTGCAGCTTTATATTTCTATAAAGACAAAAATTTACTGGGAGGGTCATTCTCTATGTTTGCATGTTTTGATTTGTTGTTGTTTTGTGGGTTTTTTGTGTGTGTGTGTGGTTTGTTTGGTTTGGTTTTTTTTTAATAATACTGCCTTTAGCAGAAAAAAATATCTTTATTGTCATTGGGTGGTCAGCGCTGAACAAGTAACAAGTTAGCCTCATTACTTTTACTCAAAGAAGATGAACACTTACAGGTTATGTATTTGGGAAAAATGAGGCAGGTCACAGACACATGGGCTTACACATTATATCTAGGTACAGTCAAATCCACATTCAAAATAGGAGTCCTGGTGTGCTACTATGACATGGCATTTGCTCTCCTTCTCTTACACATTTTCAGTAAAATTCATTTAAGCAAAACAGTACTTTACTTTCTAAAAAGAAAAGATAAACAGAATACTACTGAAATCTTATATGCATTTATAACTGCAGCAGTTCGCTTACAGTGGAGTTATTTTCATTAACCTTGTCCTGGTTCCGTGTAAAAAGGGGTTCAGGGCAGGACCCACATGGAACAGAACTATGTACTCGCCTCTCCCCACCCCTAGAGAGAGAGAGAGACACTTTTGAAAAAAAAATGAAGTATATTGTTCAACAAGGAACAGAAAATGAAAAAGGGAGGTAAGGAAAATAATATATACAAAGATTAGGGGAAAAATACAAAAAATAAAATATACAAAACCCTCAGAAATGGTTCCAGGGTCCCACGGAGTGAAAGGAGAACTTTCCTCTCCGAGCTCCAAGGAAATTAGAAACCACTCCCTGCCTCTTATCAGAGTGTGTGTGGGAAGGGGAGGGAATACAATGGTTTCACCCCCACCCGGGGTCCTCCCAGTTGCTGGAAGGTTACGCCCCCATTCCAAGCCTCAAACCACAACAAACCTCATGCAGAAAATTGGAAGGTGCTATGCAGTGTGGATATAATAAGAACCAAGCCCTAACAGCCTGCTGCTTCTTTTGCCAAGCTTCTCTCTCCCAGCCCTGGGGTACATAAAGCAAAGTGGACCATTAGTACACATGGGACAAACCCAGAAGCAGTTTTGTGATGTTGCTTCAAGAACTCAACATTTCTTCAGTTCTGAGTCAGGCAGCTCAGCTGAGTCTCCCATAGACCAAAAGTCTGTCCCGAAGAAACGTGTAACACTACAAGAGGCAAGTGGCATGAAGAGAAAATTTTCTTCCTACTTTCACCTCCACTCCAGCTGCACAAAACATCACATGTTTGCAACACAGAGGCATACACAGTGTGGAAGAGATAAGGAGGGAAGCACAAGATGCAGCTTTATCTCCTTCCATGCTACACTTCAGAGCCAAAATGTCTCTTTCCATATCTAACCTTGAACCTCTCATTGAGAGAGTAACTGTTTTTCATCCCCACCATACCTCTGCACACAGGAGAAGCACAGCAATTTGGGGGCATCAAGCTTTGAGAAAACCATCAGCCCACATCCCAGAATAAACAATGACAGTCCCTGAAGAGCAGCTATAGGCACAGAGTCTTTGCAGACGTACACACCTCAGGAACAGAGCCTTACTACTTCACACTAATTAGCTCCTACCATTGGTTTACATTCTCCAGCCTCTTCGTGAACAGCTAGGAGGTCACTGTCAATACAACATGAAAGCTGAGAAAGCGCACATTACTCGGAGCGTTCCCACATCAGGGAGGGCAGATCTAGAATGAAGCAGGACAGCCCCATGTGCCCTATAAGGATGAAACAAGGCAGAGGGTTGCTCTGTTAAAATAGATACGTTTAATGGAAAGTTTCACAGTAAAAAAGGAAAGTTTTTCTGCATGCTTCTATCATTTACTATCTTCAGAAGTGAGGCATGCTGCCTGGCCTCTCTTATCCTTTGCAGCAGGCAGGCCAGACCTCAGTGCAGAAAGTTCAGTAAACAGCTGCTATTTAAGTGCATCAAATCTCAGTTAGGAATGGCATTCCTTTCACCCTGTTTGTAGTCCTTTTTTTCCATGTTATTCTTTATTAAAACACTTCATGACAGCCATTACATTAATACTTGAATTTGTTCAATTATTGTGCCAAATCAAACATATGAACTGCAAGAAAATAGAGCTCACAGCTCAAGATAGTTACATATCCTGAAAAAATGAAGAAGGTTCATTTCCCCACAGTCCAGTTATGCTAAGATTTCATGTAGATAAGCCTAATGTAGCTCTGAATTAACTATCTCAAATCATGGCAGCAGTTTAGTTGCAACAGCACAGGCAGCACAAGGTGACCAGGACCCTAGCTAAATGCTTCCTTGTTAACCACTGGCAAAGCATGGATTCTCCCTATTACTTAAGTAATAATTAAACATAATTTGTAATACATAAATATTAAAAGTACTTTTAGCAGCAGAACACATGCATCATAATATGAAGTGTGCTTTTAAGAAAA